CCTACAGTGTACTGACGTTTCTTCCTATGCATTGTGGGTATGTTCGTTTCGTTTTAGATATTTTATATGCTTCCGCTTTTTATGTAAACCCGTTCTTGTCACCGCAAACGAATCACCGTTTGTAAGCGTCATCCGTAGCACTTCCGTACCGTTTGCGTAACACTTCCGTACCGTTTGCGTAGCACTTGCGTACCATTTCCGTACCGTTTGCGTAGCACTTGCGTACCATTTCCGTACCATTTGCGTAGCATTTCCGTACCGTTTGCGTAGCACTTCCGTACCGTTTGCGTCCAAGGTGGAACAGCGAACGTGCACGGGTCTGTACCCATCAATTATACAAAATTGAGATCCCTTGGCCCAAGGATGCTCCAGACTAAATAAGGATAAAACCCCTACATCCTGATGGTCGAAGAAGGAATTTAAAGGTTTAACCTCTATTTCTTCTATTGGGCCTCGCCCTTCTGCCCCCTGGGTGACCACACCCACTGCTTATACAAAATTGAGTCCCCTTGGCCCAAGGATGCTCCAGCCTAAATTAGGATAAAATCCCTTAATCCCTATGGTAGAAGAAGGATTTTAAAGGTTTAACCTGTATTTCCCCTATTGGGGCCCCGCCCCTCTGCCCCCAGGTGGGCCACACCCACCATTTATACAAAATTGCGTCCCCTTGGCCTAAGGATACTCCAGACCAATTTTAGTCAAAATAAAGTTGACGGACGGACGGATGGACAACGGACAGATGGACGATGGACGCTGCGGTATGGCATAAGCTCACCATGGTCCTCTGGACCAGGGGAGCTAAAAACTTGAGATACATTAGACCATATGTGTCTTTGAAACTTCAACCTAATTCACCTGACCAAAAGTTCTTTATCTGAGCATGCTACAGGCCAAACATTACAACCCTTTGCAGTTTGGTTATTCAGCAGAAGATTTTTAAATGTTTTCAACATATCTGACCCCCTTGGCCTTGAAAATAGGTGAAGGCCATTCATTTGAACAAACTTGGAGAAGATATTAAAAGAAACAAGAGGCCTATAGTATATATTTTTGTTGTTGAAATATGTACCAATTTGAGTAAAAAGTAGTCAAGTATAACGTTAACATTACCCTTAGGCTGCTACATTGATTTCTATGTAAAGGGACACCACTGCTGAATTGATTACTGAAATTTAAATTAATTTACTTGATTTTTCAAATGTGCATAACAAAATATTTGTTATATGTGAAAAAAAGATAGATGAAAATTGTTCGTTGTTGTCTCTAGTTTGTATTAACGCTTTCAATTCTAAAGTTGCTTCAGTATTTAACTGTACAGGTGGTAATAAAGGTAAGAAAAGGTGAAACTTTTAATTAATCGGAAATAAGCAAGAGAAAGATAATTTTAAAATTATTTTTGTCCACAAATGTGATTGGCAAATGATAACAGAGATTATAAACTTCATTTTTGACATAAGACGCTGTACATTAACACGGAGATTCTCAGGTAAAAAGGTCAGGTATTTCGTCAAAAATTGTATGTGATTTGCTACAGATTTCAGGTCGTCATTCAATATATTTACTGTCACAGTCGGCATATAGATATATCTTAGCTACGGTCTAGTTTATTATTAAATCATCGATAAAAAGTTTGAAGAAATAAATCGGGTGACCTAAACAGTTGACTTGACCGACAGACGACGTATGCTGCACCACAGCTGAGCTCACTTGGCCCTTTGTGCCAGGTATTAACTAATTAGTAAGGAGTAAATTCAACACTTTTGACACTTTTGGCCTTTTGCTTTTAAATTGGAACAAGCATTATTTCACATTAACACCAAAAGCTATGACTGCTCAATAGGACTAACCATCATACTTCTATGCCAACTTACCCACTTCGACAGAACCCGACTTGGTTGAGGAAGCTGTGCTCACTGTGGGAGGATACCACACACGAGGCGGTTTCCGTGGAAATGTGTTCGTCTCTGAAGGAGAGATCCGTGGTGGAACTATTAACGGGTAACTCAGCTGATCACTGGGCGTGGATGAACTGCGCTGGGAAGAGCTTGGTGAACTACACCAGTCGTTGGAGGGAGAGTAGCGTGGGATTTCACTGTCACAGTCTGTACAGGAATCAGCCGGGGAACTGTACGGGGGTGATATGGGGTACTGGGGAGTGCAGTAATTCCCTGGGGAGTAGGGCTGATATGGACGGGACATGGAGGAGACTGTCGACGAATTACTGGAATACACAACATATCACAACGGTTATTTCAATAAGAGGCCCGGGGGCCTGTATCGCTCACCTATATTTAGCAGTCATAGCAAAATGTTCTCATTAAATATAATACTGTACTACAAATATTTCACTGGCAAACTTTGCCGGCTCCATATGTTGAAACTACCAGCCACATAGTATTATATGATTCTATGCATTTTGTTGGTTGTCCCTGCAGGTACCTGCTGACCCCATCGCATGATCGTAAGAGGCGACTAAATTTGGGATCTTATCTTTTCTCTTCTTTCTAAACAACTTTCTTCTTCCTAATGTCTCCCTTGACAATGCCTCACTTTTGGCCTTTAGTTGAGCGTTCGTCCCTGTGAGGAAGGCTTTGGGTTCTGTCCCCTGGCCGATACATACCAGAGTCTGTAAAAATGGTAGTTTCTACTCCTGCTTAATGCTCAGCAATTTAGGAGTGGGACAACTGGTTCACCCGTTGTCAGTATAATGTGACCGGGTGGGGTGTCCTGCTGGGTGTCTTCGGCAGTATGATTCAGTGAGGTAGCACAATAAAGTCAGCATCAGTTTCGTGCTAGCACAAGGAGACAATCACTAACATATTGCAGCCTCCCAAAACACACACGCATACACTACACGCATGCATCTTGCACGCAGGGGAGGCCGTCCTTAAATGACTATAGCTGTTGATAGGACGTTAAACAATACTAAACCAAACCAAAGCAAACCAAATCTTCTTCATAAGTTGTTTGACATATTTTTCCCTGTGACCTTGTAAGTAGGTCAAGGTCATTTTCCTTCTCAAACTTTGTTGGCTCTATCCCAAGAAGCTACCAGCCAAATCTTATGAATCCATTCCTTTTGGTTCTTCAGACTAAATCGTTTGAAATGTTGTTGACCTCTGTGACCTTTAACATAGGTTGAGATCATTTTCATTTGCAAACTTTGTTGAGCTCTATCCCAAGAAGCCACCAGCCAAATATCAAGATTCTATACTTTTCAGTTCCTCAGAAGAAATAATTTGAAACCTTTGACAAATTTGACCATGTGACCTTCTGGCTCTATCCCAGGAAGTTACCAGCCAAATACGAAGATTCTATACCTTACGATTTTTCAGAAGAAGTCATTGAAAGTGATTGACACATTTAACCCCTGTGACCTTGAAAGTAGGTCAAGGTCATTTTTGTTCTCATACTTTGTCGGGCTCCTACCAATGAAGCTTTCAGCCAAATATCCTGACTCTAGGCCTTTCTATTCTTTAGGAGAAGTTGTTTTAAAGAAAAAGTTGACGGACGACGATGGGGGCCGCACCATGACATAAGCTCACTTGCCCTTTGGGCAGGTGAGCTAATAAAAACATAATCAAACATCCTAATCTCATTACAAAAGAAGCTCAAAAGGGCATTGCTCACCTAGATAATTAAGCAATCATGACAAAATATTATCATTACTGGATTTAACTTAAAGCATAGGCTTCGTGGATACTTTCTACCCACACACAGTTCCATGGATACTTCCTACCCACACACGGTTCCATGGATACTTCCTACCCACAAATGGTTCCATGGATACTCCCTACCCACACATGGTTCCATGGATACTTCCTACCTACACAAAGTTCCTATACTTCCCACCCACACATGGTTCCATGGATACTTCCTACCAACACATGGTTCCATGGATACTTCCTACCCACACATGGTTCCATGGATACTTCCTACTACACATGGTTCCTATACTTCCTACTACACACGGTTCCTATACTTCCTACCCACACATGGTTCATATACTTCCTACCCACACAAAGTTCCTATACTTCCTTCCCACACAAGGTTCCTATACTTCCTACCCACACAAGGTTCCTATACTTTCTACCTACACACAGTTCCTATACTTCCTTCCCACACACGGTTCCTATACTTCCTACCCACACAAGGTTCTTATACTTCCTACCCACACAAAGTTCCTATACTTCCTTCCCACACAAAGTTCCTATACTTCCTTCCCACAAAAGATTCCTATACTTCCTTCCCACACACG